ACTGAATTGATTTTAATTAGTTCTATCACTGTTCCAATCCTAGCAGCCAGCATTTGATTGCTGCCAGATACATTCAGTCTTGGCTTTTTTTAAAGTGTTCCTTTAAGGGGGGAATTGAGGCCTGAAATATATTTTTGTACTCTGACAGTCTCCCATAAGATTGGGATAACTCATATATCTCCAAAGTTAAATTGTTTTTGTTATGTATCCTTGATATCCCATGAGGTTTGTCAGGCAAAACACGCTGTATTTAGGAGCAATCAAAACAGCCAAACTCATAAAAGGATTGAGGAGCCAATCTTGGTATAAGATAAAAGCAGTTCTGCTCGAATACTCTGTATTTAACATCTAGAGCAGGTTATATTGAAGTACAGTCGCCCCTCCGTTCTCGCAGACCTCATGTCCACTGTTTTATATATTCATGGCGGGGTGACCTCCATTTAAAACAATGGGGTGCCCTCCCAAGGGTGCACCCCATTCAAACCTATAGGGCTTGAATATTCACAAATCTCAGTTGTTGTTTTTTTCTGGAATGGATCCTACGTGAAAATGGAGGGCCAACTATAGTTGAGAATTAGCTGTTTTCAGGATGAGAGTTTCTTCTCCTTACAAAGGCAATAGCTCTAAACCAAACTGGATCTTTACATAAGCTTTTCTTGTCCAAATCATATTTCTATAGACTGATCCTGGAAACACTCATCACAATCACGCCCCAACTTGTACTGAACAAAAATCTGATTTGGTGCCAGTGTGCATCTAGTCACATTTCCCATATTTCCCACAAATTTTAGAGCTAGAACATATTTGTAATTTAATGTGTAACATATTTGTTACAAATAATAATTTGTAACATATTTGCAATGAAACATTTGTAAGAGGGATTCTAAAAAAAATTTAAAAATCTATTCAACATGCCAGCATTGCAAAGATTCCTTATATCTATCAAGGAAAAATTGAGCAGATACTGTTTTCACTATGGTCTAAGGCTAGCAATGGGTAGTCTTCCCCCTCTCTCCCACAGATTACAAGCTATCAGAACTGCAAAAAATTATAACAAAGTAGACTTTGGAGACCAGTTTCAATTCTTCACTTGGCCATAAAAGTCAGTGGGTGACCTTAGGCAAGTCACTTGCTCTCAGCCTCAGAGGAAGGCAATGGCAAACCTCCTCTGAACAAATCTTGCCAAGAAAATCCTGTGATAAGTTGGCCTTAAGGTCACCATAAATCAGAAATGACTTGAAGGCACACATAATCAGCAACAAAGTACCAGTGTCATATTCCCTATAACTTGAGATGAAAAAAAACAAACAAACCCTGATAACGTTCAAGAAGTAATTTTCATGGAATAGGCCATAAAGCTACTGACACAGATGTCCTTGTGCTCCACAGATGAAATACAGTGAATGAAGTGTTCCCCATGAATTTTTCCCAGCCTCACTGTGGACTAGTTGTATGGTTTGGTCATTGTATCTGGGTCCTGCACTGAGATCAAGGTGAGACATCAAAATAAATAAATAAAAATCCTATTGCTTCTGAAGATAGGAAAGATAGATTCAATACACTGTGAAATTGCTGAAATTACGTTTTATTATTGCAAGCTGACTTTGATGAGACTGGACAAGTAGTTAGTTCCCCTTTAAGTAAAACTAGTTGCATTTTTAAAAAACCCACACCTGGTGGATCCCTTTTATGAACAAATAAAATGGCTCCCAGGATGGCATTTCGTTGCTGTTTAGTCATAAATTGTGTAAGAACAATACAACACAACAATGGTAGGAGGGAGAAAACTGGGTAATGCAACTATTTATACAAAGGACCTCACAAAGGTCTCGCTGGCTGAATTTCTGAGATACTATGAGCAGCCCATAAGTGAGGAACAGGCATGGGCTATTTGTTTCCAGTCTTGCTGTAAAATGAAACAAATTTTAGCTCAAGGACCAGATTCTGCATTACCTATGACAACCTTGGATGTTGACAACCTTTACATCCATTCTGATGGCAGTGTGTCCTTTACACTGCAACATGACTTTGGTAAGAGTCAATCTGGAAGTTAAGTTAACTTTGTCCAGTTTGCATTATATGTGTTCAAGGTTTCTTAATTCTACAGTACTTTTACATGCTACCTCTTTCCTAATTGCTATATTTCTTTCATATACTATTTCTTATCATAAAAGATTTAACTAGTCTTAACTAGTCTTATCTTAGAGATTTAACTAGTCAGTTTATTTCAGAAGAAGAAAAGAGCTTTCTTATCAGGGAAAAAAATATTAATGGCCACATTTAACATAGGCTGAATATTTCAGGCTATAGGAACTTACAGTTTATTTTTCTTATTTTTTTGTTTCAGATAATCACACAGGTCTAGAACAAAAAGAAGCCTTAGAAGAAAAGGTAAAGCTTTTGCATTTAACTTAGCCTTCATTATTAACAACAGGTCTAGCATAGTAAACTACCCCAGCACAGCTGTTTAATTTGGGTTGCTTATTAATTAAGGAATACATTTCTATCTTCTTTAGACTGTCCCTTGAAGAAGATATTGGATTAAAATTCACAACCAGAGTAAAATCCTTTCTGAGTGACAGAGGGAGGGGATGTGATAATTCCTCCTGCGACCTTTCACCTTTAACACTGACTTTTTGGATGGCAGTCCTGTGGGAACTTGTTCTCCCACCCCTGCCACCAAATCAGGTGTACAGGACCCACACTATTCTTTGTATGATATCCCACACCAAAACTTCAAAATGTTAGTAGTGTGGTTTGTTCAGAAAACGTAGGCCAAGTGATGGTTAAACAAGAATAAAAGTTTATTGTAAAACGGCATGGAATAAAGATAACTTGTATCAGAGCTTGTTACTGTTTCTTGGTTACATATAACAACATTTGTTTCCACTTCACTTTTACTACTTCAGCCACACAGGCTAGCAGTATCTCTCAGGAGATAAGACAACAGCAACTCCCTTCTTTAATAATAATAATAATAATAATAATAATAATAATAATAAGTTTTATTTCTAAGCCACCCCTCTGCTCACCAAACAGCATAATTTAAAAACAAGAGACAATGTAAAATTCCTATATCCCACACCTTTTAGAGTTCTGTATGTGTTCCGAGTCCCTCCTGTCTGGACTCTAACAAAGGGCCTTTGCAGACTGCTAGAAATAGTGCAAATTGAG